CTCTTTTAAATCTGGCTTGAACATCTGGCAGCTCCTTCTCGATGTACTGCTTGCAACCGTTATTGGATGATGTTCAGTAAAATTTTTCTTGCATGTGATATTAATGATATTGTTCTGTAATTTGAGATTGTTGGGTCACCTTTCTTTGGAATGGGTACAAATATGGTTCTCTTCCAGGCAGTTGGTCAGTAGCTGTCTTCCAAATTTCTTGAAATAGATGAGCGGGCACTTCTAGTGCTTCATTAGCTTGTTGAAACATTTTAATTGGTATCCCATCAATGCCTGGAGCCTTGTTTTTAGCGTATGTCTTTAGTGCAGCTTGGACTTCTTTCTTCAGTACCACCGGTTCTTGCTCAGATGCTACCTCTTGAAATGGCGGAATGTTGACTAGTTCTTTTTGGTAGAAGTGACTCTGTGTATTCTTTCCATCCGGATGCTTCCTGCATCGTTCAGTATCTTCCCCTCGAATCTTTTAGTATTACAACTCGAGGCTTGAGTTCTTTTTTTAGTAGTTGGAGTTTAAGATATGCTGCACGTGTTCTTCCGTTTTGGTTTTTTAAACTCTAGGTCTTTCTACATTTCATGATAATATTTTAAAAGTAAAATTCTCCAGTTACCCTTTGACATTTTCTGTTCAGCTCCTTGACTTCATTTCTTCCATTTGCCTTAGCTACTCTACAATTAGGAGCAAGTTTCAGAGTCTCTCCTGACATCCATTTAGATCTTCTATGTTTCCTTCTCTTACTGACCTCCCACAGCTCATTAGATCTTCTCTTTAAAAACTAATTAATTAATTAATTACTATTATTTTTTAGATCTTCTCTTACCAGTGTTCAACATGTCAAATCTGTTTTTGAGTGTTCTTGAAGTTCAGGTGGGATACATTTTCATCAGTTTTGACCTGAACTTACATATGAGCAATTGATGATCTGTCCCACAGCGAGCTCCAACATCATTTTAGCTTCTGTATCGTGTCTTCTCACAGATGCCGTCCGTTTGATCTCTGTGGATTCCATCTGTAGAAGTCCATGTGTGTAGTCCTCTTTTGTGTTGTTGCAAATTCTGTCATACAATCCCCAGCTTTGTTTCTATCAATTCCTTATTTTCCCAACTACTATTCCTTCGTTTCCAACTTTCACATTCCAATCCCCAATAATTGTCACTGAAATTGATCAAACAGGCCATCAAGATGCAAACTGAAGATGTTGGTAAGATTCTTTAATTTCTTCATCACCAGCTATAGTGGCTGGTGCATAAATTTGAATAATAGTTATATTGTCTAGATTCCTTTGTATGCAGATAGATATAATCCTAGCACAGTCAGCATTGTACTTCAAGATAGATCTTGAAATGTCCTTTTGGGTGATTAATGCAATGCTATTGCCCTTGACTTTGTTATTCCCAATAAGTAAACCATATGACTGTGTGATTCAAAACGGTCAATACCAGTTCATTTTAGCCCACTATTGCTTAGAATCTTTTTTTTTTTTTTTTTTAGGATATCAATCTTTATGTGTTCCATTTCATTTTTGATGACTTTCAATTTTCCAAGACTCATACTTTTTGCGTTTTAAAATAATTTATTTACTTATTTTTTACTTTGTGCATTTTAAGTTCCAACTGTTTATTGGTTTATTTTTAAAGATCATTTTATTGGGGGCTCTTACAGCTCTTATAACAATCCACACATCAATTGTATCCAGCATATTTATACATATGTTACCATCATTTTCTAAAGGTTCCAATTATTAATAGATGTTTGCAGCTGTCTCTTCTCATTTTGAGTCATGCCCCTTCAGCAAATGAAGGTTCTGAAAGCTTTACTCCTGTAGGCTGTATTCCATCTAAGTCATATGGTCAACTCTACTTTGAGGAGGCAGCTCTTCCTCAGTCGTAGTCTGAGTGCCTTCTGACCTGAGGGGCTCACCTGGCACTGTCTCTGACAGTGTTCTGCTGCTGTTCAGAGGTTTTCAGTGCCCAGCAATGTGGCATTGCTCTTCATAAGGCTTTCAGTGGTTAATTGCTCAGTGGACAGCCTAGACCTTCTTCATAGCCTATTTAGTCTGGAAGCTCTGCTAAAACCTGTTCACTCTGGGTGGCCCTGTTGGCATTTAAAATACCAGTGACAAAACTTCTAGCATCACAGCAATAAACAAGCCACTGCAGTATGACAAACTGACAGACAAGTGGTGGACAGTACCAGTTAAGACTCACTAATAAGGATGGCCTCGTTTGAGAAGCAAAGTCAAAGTACCCACACATCAGAATAGTTGCTCCTCTTTCTTGGAATCTCTTGGTGGTGGTGGTGCGTCTCAAGGTTGATGACTCAAATTTTGCTCTCTTGTCTATACTCACTCCCTTATTCCCTTGTCACTTCATCTAGGCCCACTTCTTTCGATGCCTGGCCATTGCTTTCCCCTGAACTCCAGACTGATGTATCCAGTTGCCAACTCCACATCTTACTTGTCTACTCAAACTCCCAATTCACTTCCATTGAATGACAGTGAACCTAGAGGACCAGGGCCTCAGAAACCCTTGTGAGTTTCTGAGACTGTAACTCTTTGTGGGAGTAGAAAGCCCTGTCTTTCTACAGTAGAGCTGTGGTGGTTTCGAACTGCTGACCTTGCAGTTAGGAGCCCAACTTGTAACCACTATGCCACCAGGGTTCCTTACTTGTGTTCTAAGCATCAAAAATTAAGCTTCTCTTCTGCCCATCAAAATCCACTCCTCTTGAATTCTTCCCTTTTTTCTCTCATTCCAGTCCAACATGGCCCTTGTTTTCACCGTGGCCGTGGTGGTCTAATCACCATCCTTCTATAGTTGGGTTATTGTATTTTTGCATACAACATGCCCAAACACTGTGCCCACATATATAACCCATGTGGTATATATATATAACAAACTAACTCAAGAGGTGGTTATGTGGCAACCATATAAGGTTAGTTATTGGTCTAAATATGACATCGCAATAGCAGAACCCGTTAATGGCTTAAATTAAAAAACTAAACCCATTGTTGTTGATTCTGATAGTGAGTTTATAGGACATAGAGTCCCTATGAGACATAGCTGCCCTTAGAATTGCCCTCTTGGGGCTTGCCAAGCTGTGATGTTTGTGGAAACGGACTGTTCCATCTTTCTCTTGCAGAGCCGCAAGAGGGTGAACTGAAGAATTTTCGGCTAGCAGCCAAGTGGTTCACTTCGACACCACCAGCCTTTTTTCTTGCCTCCTTTTAGAAACTAAACTCATCTTAGCAGCTTAGGTACTTGTTAATTTAGCTCCTTTCACTTTTCCCTGGAAACAATTGTTTCAGACCCTTAACCCTGTTCAAGACTCATTGTTGCTCGAAAATTTCAGTCATGTGCACATTGCCTTTGCCCTTGCTGTTCTCCCCTGGAACTCATCTCCCTTCCTTGCCAACCTTATTTTTCTCTGTAGCACTTAAAACTACATAGGTTTTATATTTTGTTTAGGTTATTTACTGTCTCCAATAACCACTCCCACTGCCACCACTGCTAGGACAACAAAGTTTACTATAAGGTACCTACAGAGTAGGACCAAAACCAAAAATCCAAACTCACAGCAATGGATTCCATGCCAACGCACAGCGGCCCTATGGGACTGGGTAGAACTGCCCCTGTGGGTTTACAAGACTGTAAATCTTTATGAGACTAGAAAGCCTCATTTTGCTCCCTCTGAACTGCTGGTGGTTTCAAACTGCTAACCTTGGTTAAGCACCTCAAGACTATTCAACCCAACAACCCCAGCCCCCCTGCTTTATGGGGTATAATGCTTTATGGGTTTTTCTTGCAGTAGACTTCACTGACCCAATGATGTTGAATTTAGACCTTAAAATCAGTTTACCTTTCCTGAGGATTTACTGATGAGGGAGTTCAGGTGGGTAGGACTAGCAAGCTTTTCCATCGTTAAAAACCCACCTGGAGCTTGAAGCTGGCCTTGCATAAGCTGGGAGGAGATACTGAGAGGGAATTCATGCTTCTTTGTGACCTTAGAGAAGTCATTCTTGGCCAGATTTACTGAGCCTTTAACATGAATGCTGGCCACCTGGTATTCTTGATCTGGGGCCGCTTAATTTGGAAACTTCTCATTAGGAAAAAAGGACGGGCCTCCTACTCTGGTTTTTAAAGTTCAAGTGCCTCTCTTATTTCTCTCCTCAGGTTTCCCGCCAGAGGGTTTAGTTCCTTGGGATTGGGAAATACGCGCAGCCTAGCCCACTTAGTTTAGGTAGAAGGCTCCGGTACTCTCACGCTAATGGACTACCCAAAACACTCAATGCCGGCTCACAGCGACCCTAAGGACAGGGTAGAAATGCCCCTGTGGGTTTCCGAAAACTGTCACTTTTTTTTTTTTTTAACATTTTATTAGGGGCTCATACAACTGTTATCCCAATCCATACACACATCAATTGTGTAAAGCGTATTTGTACATCGTTTCTCAAAACATTTTCTCTCCATTTAAACCCCCGACATTAGGTCCTCAAACTGTCACTCTTTAGGGGAGTAGAAAACCCTATCTCCTGCGGGGCAGCTGGTGGTTTCAACTTGCTGACCTGGGGGCAAGCAGCCCAACGCGTAAGTGCGATGCATCAGAGTTCCATAATGGACTATAACGAGGCTTCAAAGTAGGCAAGCCAGGGCTGTAGCCACACGTCACCGGGAGCGATCACACAGCAGGCGAAACTATCAGAGACAGCGCGCCCAGCTCAAACCCAGAGCTTTGTTGCGAGAGTGGGCAGTGGCTAACCACAGCCCCCAGCAAGCTCCGCGCATAGGGGCGACACGCCTTCCAATTGGATAGCGGCCACCAGCAAACCCTCATGCCCCGCCTCCAAAGGCAAGCCACACCCCCACCCGCGCGAGGCACGGCGGGATTGGAGTCGGTCTGCCCGACCACGGAACTCCATTTCCCAGCGGGCCAAGCGCGGAAGGCGGCGGCGTAGCGCCTTTGTGGAGGCAGCGGCCCGGCGCGGAGGAAGTTCCGGTCTCCGCGGCCCTGGATCGGTGGCGGCGGCTGAAGAGAGGAGCGGGCCCGGGGGCTACGCTGCCTCGGTAAGGGCCCGGGACAGGAGAGAGGGCGTGTCGGAATGAACTGGGGCACAGCCTGCAGGCTGGGTCGCGGTTAACATCTCGGGCCCGCAAGGCCTGGAAGCCGCGGCCCTTCGCAAAGCCGCGGCTTCAGCGTCGCGGTGCCGTCGCGGCCTCGCTCGGGAAGAGGAAAACCCGAGCGGCGGTGAGGTGAGGGAGGCGCGGCCCGCGGGAGGAACGCCCCGGAACGGTCACGGGCCCTGGGCGGGGCGGCAGAATTACCGCCTGGCTGCGGGGCGTCCAGCTGCGGGGTTGGGGGCGGCGCGTAGTTAGGGCTAGGTGCTCCGCGTCTGCGGCGTCGCAGGCGGTCTCCTCCTCTCTCGTTTTCCTCTGGAGACCCCTGGAGAAACGGTAGGATCTACGTCCCCCAGTTGGTGCTTTGGGGAGCACCTGAACCAGTGGTCAGGCACAGACCGCTTGAGAGGGACCCTGGGCTCAGCTTCTTCGCCAGGGCCGGACACGGGGCGCGAAAACTCGGAGCCGCAGCCCGTGAGCTGTGGAACCTGGAGGTGGAGGAGTAGTCTGGCGGGTTCTGCGCCGTTGGGCGAATGTGGGAGGGGAGAGCGGTGTTACTTTGTATTCACGATTTAGCGTTGCCAATCTGCCCCTGGGTTCAGCTCGGAATGCATCGTTTAAAGGAAGGACTCTGCCCTGCAGGGCATAAGAGCTAAAAATAATTGCACTTTTTTGCATAGCCCCATTGGGCTTGTGAGGGTCAGTTGCTAGATCTAAGTGAAGGAGTTCCGGGGCACCAGGTCACCTGGTTCGTGTTTCTGAACTGTGGATTGTGCCCTAGGTTTGTTAGTTTCCAACTTCCTGTGGAGAGAGTCGCCACGTGTGAATGATTGCATGATGTCACTATTAACAAACTTGTGAGGACTGCAGGGAGGCATCAAGAGCTGGCGAATGACCTTAGGGCTGCCGATGTCAAAGGTTACTAGTGATACCGATTTGTTGAAGCAGTGAAGTTGGACCTGAATGTTGTCTTCGTATTTATCACCCCCACCCACCCCAAGAAAAAAATTAAAATAAAAAGAGGTACCAGACTTCGTTTTCTGGACAGCCTTGCACTCTTTTAAAATTCTTTTTACTAATCTTGGGTTTATTTTTCCTGGCTTTTGGATCTAAGTTCTTGTAGCCTTTCAAAAACAGAGTTGTGTGTGTGTGTGTGGCACTTATTAAACCTTCCCATTTTGAGCCAGAAACTCGAGTATGTTATGCTCTGATGTCGCTATACTTGAGGAGCTTCAGTGTGTTAAGTACTGACTGGCTAATGGTGAAGTTGGCAGTTCAAACCCACCAGCTGCTCTGAGGGAGATAAATGAGGCAGTTTACTTCTGTGAAGATTTACCTTCCACTCTCCCTTATAGGACTGCTTTTTGTTGGAATTAACTTGACAGCGGCAGGTTTGGTTTGAGTTGCTTGGTTGTCTAGTTGGCTAAGTGTTCAGTTTCTCTAACTGAAAAGTCCGCAGCTTGGAACCACTCTGGAAAAAATGTGGCAGCCTATTTTTGTAGAGCCCGGGAAACCCACTGGGGCAGTTCCCTTTGGTCTCAGTGGTTCCCTAGGAGTTGGAATTGACTTGATGACAGTGAGAGGGCTGCCACATGTAAGTGTATGACCAGATGTTGATCATCAGATGCGTTTGTATTAAATTCAAACTACTGGAAAGTTGTGGAAAAATTAAATGCATTTTTATGAAATATCTAGCTATGTACTTAGTACTTACAATCTGTTAGGTCTTACAACACATTATTGATATCATTCACTTAGTCAACAAGTATCTTTTTTTTTTAACAAGTGTCTTCTTAAGGCCCCTTTTTCCCCACTTTAAAATTTGTTCTAACTTTTATTTCCTGGTTTCTTTTTTTTAATTAAGTACTTTTATTGGGGGCTCTTACATCTCTTATCACAATCCATACATTCAACCATTGTGTCAAGCACATTTGCACATATACCGTGATCATCATTTTCAAAGCATTCTCTTCCCACTTGAACCCCTGATATCAGCTCCCCATTTCTTCCCCCTCCCTACCCATGAAGGCCTTTTACAGCTCTCCTTTTACACTGTGAGGGAGCCCTGGTGGCAAAGTGGTTACACGTACTTCTGTCCGGAAGGTTGGCAGTTGGTAACCACCAGCCGCTCTGGGAGGAGAAAGCAGGACTTCTACTGTCATAAACAGTGAACAGTGTCACAATGACAGTTCTGTCTTATAGGGTTTATGCATTGACTCCAAGGTAGTGAGTTTGGTTACGTTGTGAGTTTTTGGTGGCATTGACTCCAAGGTAGTGAGTTTGGTTACGTTGTGAGTTTTGGTGGCATTGACTCCAAGGTAGTGAGTTTGGTTACGTTGTGAGTTTTGGTGGCGCTCGACTACTAACCACAGGGCAGCAGTTCGAAACTACCAGCCGCCCTGCAGGAGAAAGACAAGGCTTTCTACTCTGATAAGAGTTACTGGAAAGGGGCAGTTCTATCCTGCCCTGTAGGGTCGGGTCACCGTGAGTGGGAATCAAGTCGATGGCAGTGAGAGAGTTACACCGTGAGATTCTTTTGGGGAATCTGTGATCTGTTAGAATTTGAATTTCTGCCTCTCATTCAGTGTAAATGGTTCTCAACTTGTACCAGGATTGTATTACCACAACTCTATATCATGAGTCAGTTCTTTTTTTTCTTTCCCCCCCAATTTTATTGGGGGTTCTTACAGCTCTTACAACAATCCATACATCAATTGTATCAAGCACATTTGTACACAAAAGTTGCCATCATCATTTTTAGAACCTTTTCTCTCTACTTGAGCCCTTGGTATCAGCTCACTCCACCCACCCACCCCATGATCCCTTGATAATTTATAAATTTTTATTTTTTCCATGTCTTACACGTCCGACCGCTGTCTCCCTTCACCCACTTTTCTGTTGTCTGTCCCCCTGGGAGGGGTTATATGTCAATCATTGTGATCGGTTCCCCTTTTCTCCCCCCACCTTTCCCTTCCCCTCCTGGTCTCTCATTATTGGTCCTGAGGGGTTTATCTGTCCTAATTTTCTGTGTTTCCAACTCTTATCTGTACCAGTGTACATGCTCTGGTCTAGCTGGATTTGTAAGGTAGAATTGTAGTCAAGATAGGGGTGGGGGGAAGCATTAAAGAACTAGAGGAAAGTGTGTGTTCTCGGTGCTATACTGCACCCTGCCTGGTTTGTCTCCCTGTGACCCTTCTGTAAGGGGCTGTAATTGTCTTCACCTGGGCTTAATCCCCATTCACTTCGAGATGATTTTTTGGTTTGGGTTTCTGATGCCTGATGCTTGCTTCCTTGGACACCTCGTGGTCGCACAGGCTGGTGTGCTTCTTCCATGTGGGCTTTGTTGCTTCTCAGCTAGATGGCTGCTTGTTTATCTTCAAGCCTTTAAGACCCTAGGCACTTTATCTTTTGATAGCTGCTATATCTTTTGATAGTTGGGCATCTTCAGTTTTCTTCACATTTGCTTATGTACCTATTTTGTCTTTAGCGATGTGTCGGGAAGGTGAGCATCACAGAATGCTAGGTTATTAGAACAAAGTGTTCATGCGTTGAGGGAGTACTTGAGTGTAAATCAAAGACCTCATTTCCTCTCCACTCCCATTTTTATGACCTTTTATTAGCAGATTTTATATGATCCTGATGGTAAAATGATTGTTAGGCTGCTAAGTGCAAGGCCAGCAGTTTGAAACCAGCAGCCGTTCTGTCAGAGAAAGATGAGGCTTTCGATCTACTCCTGGAGAATTAGCCTTTGACACTCACAGAGGCAGTTCTTCTCCTCTGTCCTATAGGGTCACTATGAGTCAGTTGACTCCTGGCAGTGAGTTTCTCACTATAGTCTTGTAATTCCTGCCAAATGATTGGATAGGACTATGCAAATAAGGAACTTGAGGCCTACCACATGGGTTAAATAATTTGTTAATAATGCAAATAAGGTGCATAGTACACTTGTGTGGGTGGAACACTATGAATAGGTGTTTGGAGCCTTAAGGGAAAGGATTGGTCAATTTTGCCATCCTGTTAGGCTTTAAGCCATCCTAGAGGCAGAGAGAGAGGGGACCCTCATTGCCCCCAAGAAGAACAGGGAGTATTCTGTGCTGAGACCTTCCTACCCTGTTTCCCTGAAAGTAAGACACCCCTGAAAATAAGACCTACTTAGTTTTGCCTCTTGCTGAAATATAAGGCATCCCCCCGAAATTAAGTCCCCCCAAAGCTACTGTAACTCTGGACTCTGGACAGCAGCTCACTGTTGGCTGCAGTGCAGCCAGAGCAGACAGGAAGTGCGAGGTCTCTTTTAATAAAACAATAAACAATAAATGTGTATCATATTCTTTTTTTTAAATCAATTTATTGGGGCTCATACAATTCATCACAATACATAGATCAATTGTGTAAAGCACACCTATACATTTGTTGCCCTCATCATTCCCAAAATTCGCTTTCCTCTTGGGTTCCCGGAATTAGCTCATTTTCCTTTATCCCCTCCCCCTCCATTCCTCCTCCCTCCTCCCCATGCACCCTTGATAATTTATAAATTATTATATCTTATATTACACTGCCCGGCGTCTCCCTTCACCCTCCCCTCTGCTGCCCATCCCCCAGAAAGGAGGTTATATGTAGATCCCTGTGATCAATTCCCCCTTTCTACACCCTCCTTCCCTCCTGGTGTCGCCACTGCCACCCCTGGTCCTGAGAGGTTCATCTGACCTAGATTCCCTGCGTTTCCAATTCCCATCTGTACCGCTGTGCATCCTCTGGTCTAACCAGGTCTGCAAGGCAGAATTGGGGTCATGGTAGTTGGGGGGAGGAAGCATTTAAGAACTAGAGGAAAGTTGTGGGTTTCATTATTGCTATACTGAACCCTAAGTGACTCATCTCCCCACTACCCCTCTGCAAGGTATACCATATTCTTCATGGAAAAATAAGACATCCCCTGAAAATAAGACCTAGCG